TCCCCATTTGTACTAGAGACACACACGGTCGTTCAGGTGATCATCACAAAGTAGACTGCTGACCGAACACATGGTGATGGCTCACATGCTGGGTATATTTAGATAGCCAATAGCGTTATTACAAGCATCAGTCATCCTAAGGTGTTAGGTGTACTACCAGTAGTATTAGGGGTCTGTCCCACATGTATAAATACCAGAGCAATACAGCGTTGAGAGGGTAGACTTGATATACTCATCTACACTCGTCAACTTCTCATCCTCCTAACTCTGAGCCTACCAGCTCCTATAAGCCCACCACCACCCAAGCTATATCAATCTCTATTACCACAAGTGAGTAATTAGGGGTTAGGGTTAGAGAGAGAGTCAAGTATCAGGACGATACCTTGACAAGTAACATATTCACTGACGTCAGCAAGTAGCCTTAAGTTGGGAGCGTGGTCAAGACTACCATTGTCAGAGACATTGGAGGCAAGAGGCGGTATGCTGGGTGAGTCAGTGGATGCAGCAAGGGGACTATCAGGATTGGGAGAAGACAAGGTATTCATAGGCGACGAGGATGGAAAAACCTGTGCAGGAGCAACGTGGTAAGATCCAGTGGTTGCATCCAAACCCTGAGGAACTTCCAGGGGTCCAAGGAATTGATGCAAGACTATGGCGTCATTGTTGGATGAGTCAGGGGGTCCTGGGATAAGGAATGGTCGACGAGCGACGTTTGGCAGAAAGGGAGGGAACAGGTAACAGAAACCCCCTTCATCTAGGAATTCTAAGGAAGAGTCATCGGATTCCTGTTGAGAAGGGAAGCTCAGAATGGGATGCCTAGGAACTAGCATCTCTATTACTCTGGCTGTTAAACATTCTTCTAGAGTTTGGAGGTGGGAAGGGTAAGGGGTTGGCGCTCTTTGGGGTTCAGCTGTTGGAGAATTGTTGCACCTAGGAGCCAGAGGGCGACGATGCGGATCCAGACTAGAAGTCGCATTGTTGTTTCTAATGCGGTTGTTGCGCTCAGCAGGCATGAGTGAGAGCCAAAAGGAGATTGTTCTTGAAAAAACTAGTCCGAGAATACAAAAAAAGGCAACTACTACAGACAAGACAAGACCCCAGACGCTAATCTTGATGCTCCCTAATGTACTCAAAGTACACTTGTGTCAGGTTGTTGCTGTCGCAGTTGGCAGTGATGATGGGGAGGGTGGTGGTGGTATAGGGGAGGGGGCGCTGAGCAGTGGCCGCGATGTTGTAGGCCCACTGGTGTTCCCGTTCTAGGTGTCAGATGGTGAGACGAAGGGTTAGCGGGACGATGAGGGCAAGGGCGAGGACGGAGAGGAGGGTGGTAAGGAAGAAGCCCAGAAGGGCTAGGAGTAGGAGGTGGGGGTGTTCGTTGGTGACGGTGAGGGTGACGGCGGCGAAGGGGGTGACTTGGTTCACCACTAAGTAGGTCAGTAAATGGTGTAGGGGTTAGTTCGACTGGGGACGTTACTTGTGTGCCGTTGTTAGCCCAGTTGAGAGCTTGTTCATCGATGGGGGTAGTAGAGAGGGGAGTCAGTGTGCGTTCAAGGTGGACCTTGAAAGTGTAGCTGTCTTTGAGGAAGTAGACAGCAAAGGCGAGGATGAGGATGAGGAGGGCGATGAGTGTCCAGCTGACGAGGAGGAGAGCGACGAGGATAGTAATGGATGCCATTGAGGGAGTCAAAGGATGGTGGTTCTTATGAGGAGTCACCCTTGTTTGGTCTGCAGGAAGTCTGCCAA